AGATGACGTGTTAGGGGGACATTATAATTGCAAACCCGATACTCCATATAGCCAGTGGTTGCCAATTAATAAATTTGGCTCAGGTAGTACACAGTGGGAAAACCTCGTTATCTCAAATTAGTTTTATAAGATATTTGATATAAAATAAACTTTTATTCGGAACCTTTTCAATACGACGAGTGGAAAAAAATGTCAAAAGTCTTAGCAAAATTAGCCTGCAGTACAGAATTGTTGAGATAATGCCGTTTTTCCATTTTGGAGAAATAATTCAGATACTGACAATGCGACATCGTGAAGTGTTTATTCCGGATCTTGATGGGACAAACTTTATTTTGTAGCCTGACTAATACTATTAAGCAGATTTTTAATCATTTTCGATAATGTTCACTTTGAGCCCAGCAATTTGACCTCAAAGTTGGAAAAAATGCACGTTTTCATGGAGCGAGGTCAACCAATTTCTCGCCCGACTCACTCCTTCACTAAACTCGCTTTCTCGCATTTTTTTTCCCAAATTTTTTAGTTTAGTTAGAAATTCTTTAAGATATTAGATTATTCTAATTACTAACAATTTTAGGCTGAAATTGTACGATATTAGAATGGACAGTGTAAATTTATTATCTGTGTCAGAAGCATAAATTGCAAAAGTTAAAGAACAAATGGATAATTAGGATGCCGAACCTACTGAGGAAGAAATAGTAATTGGAGATCTTTTGTTTCAAAAACTATGCGAATTAGTACATGACTACATATTCATTGAAGGTGGCACGGATCTCTGTCAGCCGTTGGATACTTATTTTCATAGACAATTAAAATTCATAGTAAAGCAATTTTACTACTATGAATCCTTACATTGTTCAAGTGAGGAATCATCAGAATTGTCAACTCGGAACGGAATTCTAAAACTTCAGTCATTGGTTCACTTTGTTTAAGTGCACCAGTTTTTTTGCCAATGATCCGATATTGCTGGTACTCGAGCGGTTTATGGGCTGATGGCGAGAAACCAAGTTTTGAAAATGTCAGTCAAGTTTGTTTTCAAACCAAAAAACCAGCTTGCAATCTAATTGACTGCGTCAATCTTTCTTTCATTAAATGTAGTTGGTGCAAATTTTCCCTCTGTTTTACTCATTTTTATAATAATTACCACATGATCAGTTGTGCCAATAGTTCATTCCATTAATTATTCTTGTAAATTTACTTTTTGCACAAAATTAAATAATAAAGCTATAGAAAATCAATGCGAGAAAGCGAGTTGAGTGAAGGAGTGAGTCGGGCGAGAAATTGGTTGACCTCGCTCCATGAAAACGTGCATTTTTTCCAACTTTGAGGTCAAATTGCTGGGCTCAAAGTAAACATTATCGAAAATGATTAAAAATCTGTTTAATAGTATTAGTCAGGCTACAAAATAAAGTTTGTCCCATCAAGATCCGGAATAAACACTTCACGATGTCGCATTGTGAGTTTTGAAATCACATTTTGATTCCCTACGTAGTCTAAAATTAGGTTCAGACTGGCAAAACCAAATAAGATTGAGGACCCGGAGGTTGGGGGAGATAATAATTATGATGTATGTACACAGGCCGCAGAAGGTGTATAAGATGTTGGGATAGCATGGAGAGGGGCTGGATAGCATGGAAGGGATAGGAGCTCCTGAAATTTACGTGGGGGCATTATCCCCAAACAAGGTTCCTGAGGATATGAACTTTTGTAAAATTAACTGAAGGCTGATTTGTAGACGCTATATATTTATGCAAATGTTTGATAACCCAGTTTTAAGCAAAGGCATAAATTGAAGTTAAGTATTGAAAGACTTTGTCAAGTAAAAGGTGCAGATTTCAAATTACTTCGTAAGTACTTTATTTTTGTGAAATTGACATTGTAATAAATATTTACATCATTGTTTTCAGACTTCCTGCAAATTCCTTAATTTTATAAACTTTATCCTAAATCTAAATTCCAATCGTTATAAAATACATGCATTTCTCTATACATGTATCGGTTAATTTGTAACCTTACATTACGCACAAATTCGTAAACTTCCCAAAGAATAGTTATGCATAGCGTTCTGCATGCATTTCTCTTTGTTAACTTGAATCTCAATCGCCCCACTTATGGCACGAATTTGTTTCCATCTGCTCCGTCAATTTTTTTATCTTCTCTACTTTTTCTTAGGTGAGGCAAAGCCGGAAAGCTGGGCCCCGTCTCAAAAGCAAATGCAATATGCGCAAGTGGGGCCCGGCGAAGCCTAAGTATGCATTCCGACAGACCCCTCAAAAAGTCGCACAAAAATAACGCCTTAACGATGCATCCAATCGCAAAATCTGAAGAGGCAAAATAGTTAGAGAATTCGCTAACTTAATTTCTTCCGATTTCAAATTTCAAAATTTGCATATATTTCCATTAAAAATCGATTTTTGAAGTTTTCAAACGGCCAATGTGTGATAAAAATTTAAACTTTCTTATTTATTTTTTTTTTTATAACTTTCTTTATTACCATAATTGTACAAGTTATTCTATAGGGAAAGCTCTATTTTTCATTCATTACATATGTTGACCTTGAAAATTTATTGAATTGGTGATCCACTAATTAAGAATTTAATTTAGATAAATAAATGGAAATACTAATAGTAAATACAGCCAAATGACTAATATATGTAAGCGATAGTTTGAGTGGCCTAGAGGTATACGGCGCACACCTCATCACCGGCTGTTGCGCGTTCGAATCCCCTTAGATATAAAATTTTTGCAACTTTTTTTAAAACTTGCACATCATCATAAATGCACGTATGAATTTGTGTCAAACTAGTTAAGTTGCTACCACACCCCCTTATGGTGGGGGTGGTCAAAAACGAATTTGACGACTTTCTGATAAATATTTTTGTATATTTAATATCTGGTGGTCTAAAATATGAATATATTTACAATTTCACGGGAATTTTCATGGATGCAGAGAGGCATATTTGGAGGAGAAGCTAAGTGACCAATGAATCTACGACCTTGTAGCACACCTTAGAACGAATTGACCGATTTGAATGAAATTTGGCAGAAACATTATCCTGGCAAAGCGACGAACGAGTTCGAAGATAGGTTTGATCAAAATAAATTTGGACCGGTGGGGGTCATATTTAGAAGCAAAGGGGGGCCCTTTGGTTTTTGACGTTTAGTGCAAAATATTCGAAATGTCGTAATAGGCTGAAACTTGGCATGATGGTCCTAATAGTGGTAGGAATTCGGAATTGAAGTTAAAATTAAAAATTTTTCAAGTGATGGGATCGGGTGCGGTAACCCATAGCGAGTTTAAACTGTGCTTCTAGAAATTTGGCAGATATATCTCCGGTGGTTTTTAAAGAATATGAAGTGAAATTGAAAATATTTTCAAAGCCAAAGGTACCATCTGGGGCAACCCCCACCGAATTTCAGAGTTCATCATAGAATTCCGAAATTCGGTATTGACGTCTGTAATGACTTGTCATGAAAGAATGCGATGTAAAGTTTGTAAATTTTTCGACCGAAATGACCCATTGCAACAAACTGATGCTTATCAATGCAAAGAGTAGTCGGAGGATTTTATGCAGAGTCAAATGTTATATCATCGGAAGTCACACTTGTATGGGGCTATGGAAAGCTGTACTGAGAGGTTTTAAAAACAGGGAAAATTTATTTTTTTCTCTCTGCCGTTCTCCCTATTTTGAAATTTCTTTTGAAAATGTGGAATTTTTCCTAATTTCATACAACAAATATTAAATTCATACACTAACCAATATATTTTTTACCCAAATTCAGCTATATATTTGACAACTAAAAAAATTACTGTTACGAAATAATACCTGGGATCGTAAATTAATGATATTGGGATTCTGGATTCAAATTAAGGATTAATTCGAGAGACCCTAGGATAGTGGATTACGATTAGGGATATTCAATTGAATCTAAATACGAAATATTTAGTATAGGACTCAATAAATTGTGGACATTAGGATTAAAGAAATCCGTCAACCGTAAATTAAAACTTTTTGCGTTTATGGTGTGATATAAAATAAATCAGATCCGAATAAAAACTGGGAAATAAAATTCTTTTACAAAAAAGGACTCTTAGGTTCGGAATCGCGATAAAAAGAGGAAAACAAGTTTATAATGGATAACAACTTTACCTTAGTATCTACTATAATTTGCGATTTCTGCACTATTTGCTGAACCGCGGGCCAATCCTTTCAGTCGTTTAATTTAATTACATTCGTACTTTATGTCTGATGAACTAGCGTATTATAAAGTTTCAAATATTTCCCAAAATTCACACTTAATTCTCTTATTTTACACACAAATTAAAGTTTAAAAAAGTATTCCGTATATTTTAGTTTTAAATATTACTTTGTCTGTTCTAATTTGTTTTGTCATAAAATAGTTGAAAATTTATAGCGAATTTTCTATAAGCTTAATCATAATTGCAATAAATAATTGTAAAAGTAATAAAATCGAGTTATAGTAATAATTTTTTTGTACTACAATACGAATTTTAAATCCTAAAACAATCTGGGCAAAGTTTCTTCGGATCCAAACGTGAAAGACTATTATAATCGATGATCCGCATAAAATTAGTTTGACTGAAAAATGGCCCGCGGTTCAGTAAATAGTGCAGGGATCGCAAATTATAGTAGATACTAAGGTAAAGTTGTTATCCATTATAAACTTGTTTTCCTCTTTTTATCGCGATTCCGAACCTAAGAGTCCTTTTTTGTAAAAGAATTTTATTAAATTAACTTCTTGTTTTTGTCAATTAATTAATTGGGATTCTACTGCAGTGGTGTGAGATAAATTGTTAATTATTTATTGGTAAATTAAACCGTTTTAAATAACCACTTTGGTTACCACCCTTCGATTTTCACCAGTATAAAATAAATGTTTAAAAACATTTATTTTGTGATAATAATATTAAATACAAATCATTTGCAAATTGAAATATTTTACTCAACAATTTCTTTTAATTCTGCAGATTATCAGGGACGATGGACGACCATGTAGACGTCAAGGTTGAAGAGCAGGCAAATGACTTGGTTGACGAGGTCAAAGTTGAAGAGGATGAGGGCGAATTCTTCTTCGACTATTATAATTCCTACTCTCCCACTAATCTCGAGATGAGGGACCCTTTAGACGACCTTGAGGACGACGACGATGACCTCTCCGCGTTTTGCATTACTCCAGACCGACTCTTAAAAAAAGAACGACGAGGCCGTAAAATCACACGGTATGCAAATGTGTGCAAATAATTTGCACACACAAATATAATTTGTAGGAAAATTGAACTCCACAAAATTTTAAAAAGTTTACACTGCATTATTATCCATAAGTTATTTTATTTCCCATCACTAAATAATGTAACTATTTACAAAATCCCTTATTTTTTCCAGGAAACGAAAAACTCAAGATTCCTCAGACACAGCAACTTCCTCAAAAAGATTAAAAATTCACAACATTCGCAAACCCTCCCTCCCACATCAGCTCCACCTTTGCCCTTGCTGTCCCTCCACATTTGAAACCATCAAGGCGAAAAACACCCACGTGAGCACCACCCACCCAGAAACCTCCCCCTATCCGTGCCCCATTTGTGGGAGGAGGCACCACTTCCCAACCGCCCTCGCCGTACACATGGTCACTCGCCATGAGACCGGCGAGAAGAAAGTTTCCTGCGACAAGTGCGCCAAGAAGTTCGTCCTCGACCAAAATTTCCAGCGCCACATCAAACTTCACGAGATTGAGGATGTCAAACCTGCAGTTTGCGACGTGTGCGACTCCAGATTTAAGGACGACGCCCGTCTCGCGAAGCATGTCGAAGCGGCGCATGCGCCACGATCCGTTCACGTCTGCGACATTTGTGGAAAGCAGTTCGACCTCGTCACCGGTCTCAAGGAACACGTCAAACGACTCCACGGGCCCAAGAAAGTGGTGTGCGATACGTGCGGAGAAAAGTTTGTGAGGCGTCAAGCCCTAACGTCCCACAGGATTAAGGAGCATGGCGCAGATCCGTTTATGTGCGATCAGTGGTAAGATTTTTTTATTTAAAGTTAACTTAATCGTTCCCAAAATAATAAAGTCCTACTCATGTAGCGGGATTACTTTCTTGAGACGATCGGCATTAGTGGAGCATATAAAGAGCCACAATGGCGATAAACGACATAAATGTGACGTAAGTTGAAACAAAATAAGTATTTCTTGTACAGTGGCCCCGGAAGCGTGGGACAAATTGTATAGGACAATCGTTATTTAATGTCCCAATGATCTGTTATTTGTTTAATATTCATTTTTGAATCTCACCTATCTGCAATATTGATGTCCCACCACTTCCGAGGCCACTGTTTTTATTGCAATTTTGACACATAAAATTCATTTTGCTCGTGATTTTTAAATCCTGGCAGATATGTGACGTCCTTTTCCTCACTAATCGAGCCATGCTGTACCACAGGGCGACCCACCTGAACGAGCGCCCCTTCCCCTGCCCCCACTGTCAGCATGCCTTCAAACTAAAGGTCGGGTTGACAAGGCACATTAAGCGGATCCACACCCCCGGATACGTCGCCAAAATCCGGTGCCGATGTCCCCACTGCGACAAGGGCTTCAATGCAAATTACTTTCTGCAAGTCCACATCCGCCAAGTGCACACGGGCGAGCGGCCCTTCGCCTGCGATAAGGAGGGGTGTGGAAAGGCCTACGCGGAGAATAAAGCGCTCAAATTGCACTTACGGAAGGCGCATGGAATTGAAATAGAGCCGAAAATTAAGTCCAGACTGCCAAAATCGAAAAAGATGGAGGTGTCGGAGGGTGGAGGAGATAAAGATTAGGGTATATTTTTTTTAATTAATTCCGGTGAACTATATGCCTGTAAATATTTGACCAGCCAGTCTAAATAAAGTTATGATTTGAAATTAGATCAATTCTTGAATTTCCCCTGGGGATTTGCCAGTACACATTTATTTGTTGCAAAATTCATGAATGTCGCTTTGTGACATAATTTATTTATGATAAATATGTACGGTTATAATTCTAATCAGGCAAGTACTTGATTTATTTAAATTGCTCAGTTTATTTATATTGCACAAATATATCTTAAATCAAAGATATTTTTAATTTCCTAAAAATTCTTAAATCAATGGGATTAAAAAAAATGAGTGGCCACACCAGTTCATCTTAAGTAAGTCATTCATATGCATAAATGTGTTAATTATTAATTCAATGACGAATTAATGAGTATATACCATCTCCGGATTACTTATTTATTTTGTTCATGCCTTTTATAACTTATGTTTAAAACATGAGATTGCGAATAATAAGGAATAAATAATAACTCGAATTGAATTGTTCGAATTGAAATTTATTTGAATATGTGAATTTGGATATAACTGCATTAATATTCACATTACTATTAGATTGGTAGCGATCTTTATACGGAAATATTTTAAATTCTCAACTTCACGAAGGTTTTGCAAACGTTATCTTGGGTTGGTTTAGAATCGTAATTAAATTCGTTAATTACTCTGCGCACGATTATTATTTACATATAGACCATATATCAATAAAATATACATACATACATATCCGATATGTCGTAGCGAAGATAAGGATTAAGGATAGCCTTAATAATTTAATAGTAGCTTACGAAACCATAATCGCAGTCACGGAAACTTAATTAAATTGCTTAGAAGTATGTTAGAGACAAATACTATATTATTAGGGGAGAAATGCATGGACGACATGGATGATAATTATATTATTATGACTAGATTATTAATTAATATTTCCTGTGATGTCGTTTGGTTGGGGTGGGAACCCATTTTACCGTCACATCCACGATCTAAGAATTTAAATTATTCGACAAATCCTAACTGAAGTGCGAAGTAATTCCCCAAAAACCTCATACTGATCAATTCAAAATGTTAGGAACAGAAGATGTAAACCTTCTAAAGCGCAACCTTCGCTACGGAAGATATTGCTTACCCGTCCAGTGGGACACTGAGAGGGGGAAGATAGTCATAAAATCGGCAAAGCAGCAAAAATATGTCATGGTTTCGCTACTTGCCCATTTTCTGGCGATGTTTGGTCGTCTCTATTCGATGAGTCTGCATTCTAACATCCTGGATAAAGCGCAAGCTACGACAGGGGCATTGGTGTATGCGATCGCATTCATGGTAAGGTTCGATGTCCCAGTGGATTCTGTAGCGGCGCAACTTATCAATTTGATGTTTGCTTCAAGTAACGCAAATAATGGTAGGATTTTTGTGGTTAAAGATTAATAAAATAATGACACATTAATTAGATAGGAAATTAACAATGGAAAATTTGCATACCTAAAGAGAAGAATTTTGTAATTATTCCAGGCTCTCTTAGGAAGTCAAAGATCACACTGTGTATCAGACTCTTGTTATCCGCGGTTGCCCTAACTGCAACAATATTGGCGGTGTTGCTGGCCATCTTGGTAATTTTCCTGCCATGTCAAGCTCTCGTAGTAAGCTCAATACTTTGTCGAGGAGACAGCTTCCTTGGTAATATTGGGTATTGGACTTCATGGCTTGTTAGGATTCTTATTGCATCTGTGGAATTTGTATTGCTGATAAACATTGCTGTAAGTTCGATCCATTACTGTTTTCACGTAATGCTGCATGGCATAGCATTTCTATGGAGTGATTTCAGCACTTTTGTAAAACGGTGTGACCAAGGGTTTGCCCCGATATGGGAGTATAAAAGGGTGCAGGTGTTTGAAAAGCTGGTAAATTCGTGTATTAGACGTCGGATATTCCTGGCAAGTGCGTTAGGCATCCCAACTTTTCAAATTATGATGTGCTATATTTCAACTAAACTGTTCCACTCGGAACATGAAAACAATTTTAAGGCAGTTTTATTTTTCTGGTCGTACATTCTGGCGCTTATCTTTACGGTGATTATTTTCTCTGTGGCGGCAAAAATCAATAATCTGAGCAGGAATTGGCTTTCAAGATATAGGTGGAGGATGGAGAGAAAGTTGGAGAGGAAAGTTCTGAAGTCCTTGGCTCCCTTGAAGCTGGAATTTGGCAACAATTTCGTGGACGCATTGACACCCTTGGTGGTGCAGGAGTTCTGTTTGAGACAAACGGTTTCGTTTCTCCTGGTTACTATGTGAATATTCTCTATCGAGTGATTTTTGATAAATAAATTAGTACACATTATTAAACCAATTTGTGTATAGTTAAAGCGAAAGTTGTTAATAATTTAAATAACTTTTATTTATTCGAACATAATTCGTTGGTTGGAAGGTATTACACATTTTGAAACTAAAATAGGTATATTGTAGGAAATTTATTATTGTAAAATACAACTACATACATAGTCACAGTGTATATAGTTTAGGTAATGAGCAACACAAATTACAGACATAGTGTGCTCTCTAGGTATATGCATCATTTAACTAGGCGACCTACTTTGACTTGTGGATACTGAGGACAGTTTATAATATCCACTGGATATCGTAGTTCGTGTCTAGAATAATTATGAGGAAATCTCCCTGTTTAAGAAGTTCGTGAATAAAACATAATTGTCCTCTATGAGGAAGTTTATTAAAAAAATTATACATAATGATAAACAGGTGAGCGGATGGCCATCATTATTTTGTTTTGCTTAATTTACTTTGAATAGATTGCTTAATTGATGGTCTTAGTAATATCCACTTTCTTTGTTTTACTAAATATTTGTAATTGCATTTTAACAATTTCGTAACCTTCGTGTTTGGTTATTCAATTTTAACTTTTTAATATGAAGTTTACATACTTGATGCATAATAAAGTAGGATAATCTATCATAGCCTAATTGGTAGGACCAGTCTGGCCCGAGCAGACTAAACAAACTTATGACAATCTTGAGTAATAGATACTGGACAACATTTGACGCTAGAGATATATTACACATACATGTACTTGTCAATAGCTATATAAATTCTTATTTTCCATTATAATAAAATGTACAACATAGCCGAACACCCTTGGTGATCCTACGGCAAATTTTTAAATTCAAAGACAGCATTCCTCCTTCGTCTCACTAATATTTCTTTAAACTCATTAACCCAGCAAACTAACCCTATTAGAAAACCCGCAAAATACAAAATAAAGCAAAGTTTCAAATTATCCAACGCCACAGGTTCAAAGGCACTGTCAAACAAATTGTTGTTAATCATATCTGCCCCGGTCATTACCAAAATACCATAGTAATTCAAAGTTGGCCGCCGTTTCTTAATTTCTGTGTCGCCCCACCGTAAAAGCATTAGTGTATGGTGCATATGATAATTTCTCATCCAATGTGCATAAATCCCGCTTTCACACAACCTAGCAACACCAATTTTTATCATTCCGGCATACTCGTTATTATCCACGAACCAAACTGACCTAGTCACCAACGGGTTTTCTCCAACTCTTTTCTTTTCTTGAATAAAATATTTTGTCTGTTGCGCCACAAGTACTTTCATCTTGTCAGAATCCACTTTCGGATTCACGGTGGCAAATGTTTGGGGTAACTTGATCATTCCGCGATCCGTGGCTACGGCTTTGTTCTGACTTATATTCATCACAACTAGTTCCGGCTTGCCAGTAATAAGTGTCGTCTTCTGTGAGAATCTAGCGTAGAATTTGGCATGCGAATCGTCTCCTTGGGAAAGATGACTTAGCATTAGTTTCAGAGATGAGCGGAACTTCGTATCGTATCCACGATACTGGATATTTGTCGTGATCAGGATATCTGACTTGACCAAGTCTACAATAGTGTCAGGCACACTTGGCAACGTTTCTAGGACAAAGTATGACAGGAGATCACCTTTATAACAGCACGAAATTATGGACAAAGTCAAAGTCCATGAAGTGATCATAATCGTGACCATATTCGGTATCAGTTTTCCCGCTTCAGTCCCTGGGTCATGTTGAGACTGGTCTAGCACAACGGAGAATACTGTGAACAACGCGTCGCCTATGGAACCCCGGGTGGTCGTTAGACCGTACACGAAGACCAACGTGACCAAGAAGGTTAACACTAGT